TTCCCCTGGCACCTGGTACTTACCTCTCAGGGTCTGAGCTGGTGCTGGCTGGTTTCATATAGCAGGTGCTGTGAGCACAGAGGGTTGAAAAACTCAGAACGGTGCGGAGTAGCCAGGTGTTGCTGTGGTCAGCAGTAAATGTGGTCAGGAAGGACTGCAGGTCACTTACCCCCAGCGTGATGCCCTCCAACTGTATAAGCCTTCAGCAGGCTTACTTCAATGTTTGCTCAGCAATGTTTTTTCCCTGACTTCTTCTGTCCACTGGATTCCTGCTTGTACCTTCTAATCCCTTGTCCTGCATTTGCCGGCAGCCTGCCCTGAGCTCCATCGGAGTGAAACATCCCTCTTCAAAGGGACAACCTCAGACCAAGGTGTTCCCCGAATCCTATTCATGTACTCGTGCTAAGGGCATTCTCCTACTTCAGTGCAGACTGAGGACTGAAGTGAAACTCGGACCGGACTGTATAAGGAGTTGAGGTGGCTGAGGGGAGGACCTCCCTCCAGACATGGTGGCAGTTGCTGGGTGTTGCTAGCTAGTGGATATATATGTCCTTGCCAAACCAAGCAGCACCTGGAGAGCAGGCACAGAGCTGGTTGAGAAAATGAGCAGGCCAGAGGGTGATGAAAGTCCATGTTTGTGTGTGTGCAACATGGCTGTGCTTGGAAGAGAAATGCCATTATTCTGCAGAGCATGAGAGACTTTGTCCTTGTGCTTTGCAATCAGAGTTCATTTGTCTTTTACAAACGAAGCTGTAAGGCAGCCTTTCATCCTGTGCCCTGGTGCCTGTAGTGTCCGAGGCTCAAGGGCTTCGTATTCATTCCTCGTTCTGTCCCAGTGTCTTTGCCAGTGAAACCTATGCTTGCATCTTGGCCTCCTACCAGAGACCATAACCAACTCCAGGGTGTGCAAGAAAACACAGAATTAATACACAATTTTTTATGCAGACGAATTGTTTTGGGGTAATTTCACATAGCAAAGTTTGAACAAATTGCAAAATCCAGGCAAGAGGTACAGCACACAGCTACTGTACAAACCGGTGGGTTTCAAAACACCAGAACTCCTCACAGCAGGCAAAAACTGCTGGTTTAGGCAAGAGCTGACATCTACCAAGGATGGTAGAAGGAGAAGCTCTAAGCTATCGTGTAGTGCTTAGGCTTCCTCAGCCTTCAAGGAAAAGCCAGTCCTGAGAGGAAAGGGAAAAAAGGAAGGATGGTAAGTAAAGAGTGCAATCATGCTGAGGCTTTGGAAAGGACCCACGGGAAGAATAAAAAGGTAGGGCATTGCTCTGGCCTAGTCTGAGAGGACGTATCTGGGCAAGAGACTCTTGTGCGTGAGGCACTGGGCTTTGAAAACATGAGGTTTCTTTAGCCTGAAATAAAGAAATCCTGAAGAGAAACATAGCAAGAGCCGCCATGTGTGCAGAAGGCTGCTGCAGGGCTGTAGTGGATAATCGGATCTTCATGTCTATGGTGAAGACAAAAAGACATTACACATCTCAGTAGCTGTGAGAAAGTTTCAGGGAGATGCCAGGGAAAACCTTCTAACACTATGACTAGAAGAGCGTTCGAACAGATTTTATCTGGAGGACAGTGAAGTCTCTGATGCTGGTAGGCTTTTGGAGCCGGAGAGGTAACTAGCTGTCAGGCATGCAGCACGACAGGGGCTGCCCTAGGGAATGAAGGTGGACAAGCTGGCCTTCATTGTGGTGTCATACATGATGGCAGGAAAACACACTTTTGCAGGTGCGGTGTCCAGCTGGAAGCGATTTCCCAGAAGGCTCCTGCGCTGCAGCCTCGGCCAATGTGCCAAGAAGAATGGAGGCAAACTCGATCCCTGTGGGCTCAGTAAGCTGGGCGGGGTGATGCTGGAGGTCTGCCAGCCCCTGTTTTCTGGGCTTCCAGGTGACCAACACAAGGCAAGGGTCACTGTCATGGGCATGCAGTTGTGACCTGCACGAGCATAGTAATAACAAGCAAGGTTTTCCTTCTTCTTTACTGCTCCCTGACACAGGTGACTCACCTGGCAAGATTGTCTTCTACAGGCAGGGCCCCAGACCACAACGCCCTGTGAACAGCTGTCCCTGTGGATTGGGGTGAGGGGAAAACAAAAAACCAAGAGAAATCCATTCAGAATAAGGTGGAAATTGAGGAATCTGTGAAAGTTTGGAGTGGTTGGGGGCTTGTGACAGGGACTGGCTTCTATGTGTCCCCAAAGTCCCACCCAGCCTGCTGCATCTGAACAGGACACCAGCCTACCAGCTCCACGTGGAATTGTGACAATCAATTTCACCCTACCTAAAGCACTTCAGTCTACAAGGGTTTGCAAGGAAAGGGACTGAGGCCTTGTGCAGTACCTTATTGGCCCAACCCAGAAAACAGCCTGAATTTTCCCTCTTGTTTTAGAATCATAGAATCATAGAAAGTTTTGGGTAGGAAGGGACCTCTAGAGGTCATCTAGTCCAACCCCCCCGCAGCGAGCAGGGACACCACTAACTAGATCAGGTTGCTCAGAGCCCTGTCCAACCTGGTCTTGAATGTTTCCAGGGATGGGGCCTCCACTACCTCTCTGGGCAACCCGTTCCAGTGGCGGTGGGGGGCTGGTGACAGGGCCTGGCTTCTATGTGTCCCCAAAGTCCCACCCAGCCTGCTGCATCTCAACAGGATACCAGCCTACCAGCTCCACGTAGAAGTGTGACAATCAATTTCACCCTATCTAAAGCACTGCAATCTACAGGGGTTTGCAAGAAAAGGGACCGAAGCCTTGTGCAGTACCTTATTGGCCCAATCCAGAAAACAGCCTGAATTTTCCCTCTTGTTTTCTCTTGTTCTGATTAGCTCCATACTTTACTTGCTTCCTAAGGCCCTACCAGCACCAGCAGGCAACATTTTGCAATACGCTTACGGAGCTCTGCAAATTCGGGGCTCTGAGCTACTCCTGACTTGTGAGCCGCTTTCCTGCTTCTGTCCGGTCTGCAGGAGGCACACAGCTCTGGCTCTGGCCCTTCTGCCTTCCTTGGGGCAGGCGCAACAGCCAGGTCGCTTGCTTTGGCTCCTTGCTGCCTGGCTAGTAAAGCTGTTTTGGAAGGATTTGTCCATAGTTCCTGACGATGTAGAGCCCCCCACAGCGGACAGGGAGAAAGGGAATAGCCATAGAACTCGGTCCTGCGGAGGAAATCACCAAGTGGCAGCCTGGTATCTGGAGTTTTGGTGGCACGGGCAAGTTTAACCATGCGACCACGTTATTCTAGTGAGGCAGAACCTGCCCTGGTTTTGGGACTCTTCTCTTCCTCAGGAGTCTGAAATACAGAGGGGTCGCAGCCCCGATGGCAAACCCAGAGGCTTTTCTCTGTTTTAACACTGTCCCACGCTGACATTGAGCACAGGCTTTGCTCTTAGCAGCGTTGTTTTCTCATGAGTTAACGACCTTTGCCCCGTAGTGTTTCTCATTTAGCAGCTGCCCCAGAGCCCTGCAGAGAAGCCGGTGGGAGACGCACAGTGAGCTCGGAGGACGGCAATGGCAGGTCATCGCGGGACAATGTGGCTTCTTCCCCTTGTCCTCCTTTTCCTTCACTTGGTGCAGACAGGTACAGCCCTTGCTTTAACTTGGCTTTCTGCTGCTTTGCCTAAACCACAAAGGTAAAATCATTGGCCACTATTTCTGCTTTGTGCACAGGGGTGACACGAGTGGAAGTCTGGTAGTTTTGCTTTCCAACCCGCATTGTTCCCATTTGTACTAGGGAGTACCATTCTGGACGGAAATCATTGTGTCAGTGCAAAATATGGGGTTAGTACATCAAGATGCAGGGCTTTCAAACTAACAGCACAAACAATGTGCTATTCTTTGTGTGCTCAAGAGAAGTGAGGATTAAATAATCCATACTACCCACTCACAAGCTATTGGGTGACCAGAGGAACCCCACTAGGTTTAACAGTTCAGGGGGGAACCAGAACCCCACACGGTCACCTGCTGTGCTTGTCTGAGTCTCAACACAAACATCACAGCTCCACTTGAGGAAGCTTCCCACCTGTCTTTGAGGTTGGAGCCTGAGACGCTTCTCTACAGAGGAAGGGTGTGAATCACACTGCAGCCTTGTTGATGCACGCCTTGTTGTTTAATTTTGCTGTAAAAGTCATTTGGTGATTACAGAGGTCTGCTTGGACACAACTGAACAAACACCTGAGTCATCCACGTTCCAAGAGCTGGGAGTTAGAGGGAGATTTGGACATCCCAGCGATGAGGTAGGAAAGGTACTTCGTGGGACACGGGGTGCCCTGAGACTCTTCAGGGTGTTTCAAGGAAAATTTTCTCCTACAAACACGTAGAAAGCAGTTTTGAGTGCACTCCTCTACATTTGATTTTAATCAACACACTGGAAGTGGCTGACAGTACAAAGATGGAAGATGACTTTAAGAAGAGTAACTGTAAAATGACAGAGCTCGTGAAGGAAGTAAAGAAAAAGAACATGAGATAAAATTAATGTGTCTTTTAAAGAGAGAAAATCAGGCTACTTCTAAAAAACTCCACAAAACATCCTGGTACAAAACCAGAAAAACTAAGGAGTAAATGCAATGTGATAAACATGATGTGAAAATCAAGAACTGATCTAAGCATATGGATATTGTAAGAGAGACCAGGAAGAAAGTTAGTCTGTTCCCAACGGAGAAGAAAATCTGTATTCGTTATGGTACCAGATGACTTGTGTCTAGCAAGGAGGAAAGAAGCTGCAGAACTGCAGTAGTCAGGAGCAAATCTCATCAGTCTCTTCCAACGCCAGGGTAACAGGCTGGGTGGCTGTAAAATATGCAGTACCTGTCAGGTCTTTCCATTAAGGGAGGCTTCTAACATCATTTTACATAACGCTTTTATTGTAACAGAAACTCTGGTCTGGATGAAACTATTTTAAGTTTGGTGCACATCTGGTTGGGAAACTGTGCTCGTCTGTGTTTCACTGTCAAATGAAAGGTTATATAGAGTGGAGGGCCCCACGCACATGAGCCAGAGGAGCTCTGATACTTGGTATTTTCCACAGTGGCGTGCAAGACACAAGAGAGTGTTTACTCATTGCATTTGTAGCTCATTCCAGACTGGAAGGACTGCCATAAGTCGAGATGAGAGTTCAAGACAACCTTGTGAAATTTGAGCAATGGTCTAACATGAATAGGAGGCAATTCAGTGAGCACAAAACCAAAATTTCACCCTCGGTCCCACAATACACAAGCAAGAAAATCTGTAAAATACGTAATAAAAGCAAGAAGTCTACTTCATTTTCACAAGGGTGAAGAGCTAGGACAAGAAGTAATGGGATCACACCACACTGAGGGACACTCAGTTATCAGGAAACACTTTTTAGATATTAGAAGGCAAGTGAAGGAGTGGATTAGGCTGTGTGGGTGGGCTGTGGAATCTCATAGTGAATCTGTAAGAAGAGGTTAGACAGCATCTGTTAGGACTGGTTTACCTCTCTTTGCTCTCCCACTGTTGGTGCTGGGAAGAGCTCTCCCTTGCTGCCTCTGATCTTGCAATGCCAGGGACTGAGCTAAGGTGAGTAGTATGAGCCATATACAGATGCAAAAGGAATATTGCAAGGGTCTACCTAGAGGCTAATATTTCATTTATTACTCATACTTTTGTTGCTGCTAATTTTAGCCTCTTACCTACGCCCACGTTCATCTTCGCCTTAGTACGATGGCTGTTCTGGTGAGTACGGATTATCCTTTCCTTTGCCCTCAAATTGCTGCCAGTTATAGCTGGGAAACACAGCAGAAGGTGTAAAATAACAGTGGTCTACCTAATGTTGACAGCTTACCGTTTTTTAAATAATGATAGCTACAAATGTTGTTATTACTAAGGCCTTTGGCAGGAATTGTTCCCAAAATGGTGGGGAGTTTGACTAATGCTTGCAAGAGAGGTTTTGCAAGCTGCTTGTGTTTTTAACTGCCTATAAATGTTTAACCTGCCTATAAATTTATCTCCTTTGCAGTCATACCAAATGCATGCAAGGTCAACAATGGGAACTGTGAGCAGTTCTGCAAAGCTGAAGATGAAGGAGTGGTGTGTTCCTGTGCTGCTGGCTATGCCCTGGGCAATGACAGCAAAACCTGCGTTCCTGTAGGTACGAAGCCACACTTAAAGCTCACTGTATGGGAGTGAACTCATCACATCTTCACCACGTTTGGGAAGTGGTGGTGTGTCGCAGTGCCATTGTAGCATAAGGAATAACATTAACTGTTCACGTCTTTCACATTTCTTGCCTGAGGTGTTACCAACAAAGATAGTAAGATCTTAACTAAAGGTTGTAATTTAAGTAACGTCAATTTGTGCAACTGTGAGCAATGTGCAGTGGCAAAAATATCTGTGCAAGTGGGTGCATTCTCAGAGAGGACTGCAAAACCCACGTCCCAGCAGGTATGAAGCCATATGAGAAACCAGTGGTTACAATGGGACTCAGGCTCCTCTTTGCCCACAGACTGAAACAGGCCTCTCATCCTTCAGGAGATTTTGCTAGAAAGGAATGGGTTAGTTTTATTTTTGGTGAAAACTGGTGTCTATTTTCAAGGCCTCCAGAGTGTGCTGAACACCTACACATCCAAACGAGTAGAAACCCAAGAAACTTCTCCCTTTACAACATGCAGATCATACGGAATCTTTGTAGTTTCATTGGTAATGACATAATGAGATTGCAGCTACATCTCACTTGCTTACACTCAAATATCATCTCTTCCATTTGAAAAGAATACAACCTGCATTTCCACTTTCTTCTAAAAGCTAGTTTTCTTCAGTTAACATACAGTAATCTAATACACAAATAATGACTGACATTGAATTTAAACCCACCAGTTTTACCTGCATTCAGAGAAAGTGAACAGTAACAATTATTCTTCACCTATTCTTCTGTCTGTCTGATTATATTTGTTATAATGTCCTTTGTATTTTAATCCCATATTGCTGTCATGAGCTTTTAATTCCTGATATAGAATACTTTGCTCAGTTTCCCAGTTACAGAAGTTTTACTAAAAGCAAGTACACAAAAATAATGATGCTAATAATAGAAGCTGTTTAACTTTTAACAACTTTGAGAATGCTGAATGTATTTGCCCACTTGCCCAAAATGGGCGAATTTTAGAACTGGAAAATTATTTTCTTTTTTCAACCGTTCTTGTCACCCTCCCTTTTGCATTTACAAAGTTTTTGTTAATGTCTTGAAAAGTCTTGCAGAACCAACCCTGATAAGGACACCTGCGTATCTAATTTAATTGAAAAAGCCTGCTGCCAGGGAGTTTTCCTTGAACTTTTAATGAGTTTTCTCCCATTTTCATAAAGAGTTGTTTTCCTGAAAGTGACCTGTTTCCCTGCAAACCAGTCTCCTCCACCGTAGGTATCTATCTGTGACTCTGGAGGCTACTTCTCACTGCCAAACCCATGTTCCAGCAGGTTTGAATCATTTATTGCGGTGAAAAGCAACACAAAGTGCACTGGAATCTTGATTTACTTTTCTGACCACAAAACTGTCCCTTCTACTGTGGGCTCTGTCAGACAAGCTCCGTTGAATGGCACTTTGGTGACAGAAGTTGTTTTCACCAGCAACTCTCTGTCCTTCTGCTCTGCTGGAGGTTACTGTCCCTTGCCTGTCACTTGGCTTGGTATTTCAGGGACAGCACAGGCACCAGCCCCCCCAGAGATGGAAGGCTGTGCTCCTCCACATCCTATAAATTTGCTTAAATCAGCAAAAGTGAAGGCCGGTAACAGCAGCTGAGCCCTCACAGCTGTTTGCTCAGGGTTATGGATGGGAATGCCTTGCTCTCAGCATGCGACACGTGCCTCAAAGCTCCAGCGCCATCCAGACGTCAAGTATTAGCGTTTTGGTTTTGCCTTCGCAGTCAAGTTCCCATGCGGTAAGCTTCAGAGAAGTCACAAAGCCGGTCAAGAGAAAGTCACAGGAACCACAGCAAGTCCAGATGCTCATCCTGAAAATGAGGGAACAACTGAGGCCCTGAGCAGCCATCCAGAGGTCACCGGGGAGGCTGGCGGCTTACCCAGTGTGTCCCCATGGCAGGTAAGGTGCCCTTGTCCTCAGATGTTTAACACCTGACCCTGCTCACCAGGATCAGCAGCCATTTGCTCCTCTTTGTACTCATCCCTGCTTGCCAAGGGGATCTAGGTTGAATTGAGACAGACTTCCCTGGTGTCAACATTTTGGGTGGTCATTCCACTCTCCTGAGTACTGTGTTTCTGCACAGGTGTCCTACCATGAATGATGTTGGGCCTCTGTTTCTGCATCAAGCGAATGCTGAGAGGGGGAGGCTGCGGGAGGTTAGGGTTGTAGATACAGGACGCAGAGCTGGGTGAGCTGCAGGGCCCCTTTGCTGCCAGCCACCCTGCTACTGACGTTGCAGCGTAGAGGTATCAGCAGAATAGCTTGAGGTCCTGTTGTGTCCAAGACTAAAGCGAAATAAAAAACCCCAAGCAGGAACAGTGCTATTACAAGATTAGCTGAATTGTGTTTAAAAAATAGCAACCAAAAACTACAGGCAAAATAACTGAATGCACAAACTCCGCTTTGAGCCAGGAAAAAGATCTGTCTTGACAAGTTTCCCACTGCGGTGGCCACACCACAGTGTAACTCTCATCACCTCTGAATGAAGGACGCCTTTGACAGAAAATATGTATGAAAATGTCTACTTAAAGAAAACTGTTTGAATCCCAGCTAGCTGTTCAAGTTTTCTCTGTACATATGTTTTGTGCTTTATCTTTCTTCTCACTCTTTGCAGGCTGTTCTGTATGTCGATGAGTATGATGAATGGCATTGTGGGGGCACAATTCTGAATGAGTATTTTATACTTTCTGCAGCTCATTGCGTTAACCACTCTAAAGACTTCTCGGTTATCGTTGGTAAGTGCTTCTCATTTTGCCCTTTACTACGAAAATAAGAAACTGTCCCACATTCTGGTCTCCATACACAGGACATCTAGCTCTGCCAGAGTTTTTCTTACCCTCCTGTTATTTCCTACTGCCTCATCTTGTCCTTTGACTAACTGTGACATATGTATTGAATGGACAGTTTCTTTAAGCCTGGTGTAGCTTGTGTATGATAGAAGTCAAGTATAATCTGGAAAGATATGTGGACAAGTAGGGTTGAGCTGATGTAGCTAATTGGTCTAACATTACACCTTTATGCAATTTCCTGTGTTGGCCAAACCCTGAAGAATTCCAGATGCCTCATTCAGATGTTAGCAATAACTGTTTTCACAGCCTGTAGGTACTAGTCTGAGACTGTTCCACACTTGAAACCACAAATTAATTATTTATTACTGTCATTTATGAAAAAGTAGTTTATCACAAGTTCTAGGCACTGAAAAATGATGTTCTGAGTCATAAAAATTGTACTCAGCCTGCAACAGTAAAGCAAAAGTTGTACTTGCCTAAACTCCAGTTGTCTGTCCATTTAATTCCCAAAGACACTTCATACAAATTGAGAAATACTAAATATATATAAATTCCTAAGTTTTTGTATGCAGAACGTTAAAGTTTTAAAAGACAATGAATATCTGTATCCTATTTAAGTCTGACTATGTTGGTCTACAAATGACAGGCAATATTCTTCTTTTCCGTGTTGAGGTTTTTTGGTTATATATTAGAAAAGTGCCACTGGGGATATTGTAATGAAGCCCAAGATTTTGTGTCAAAGCTTTTATCGAGAACATTATTCTGCTAAGAAATTTCTGATTTTCTACTGGCTTGGCATTTTGGCAGCCTTTTAAATCCCTCGAAAATGGGTATAAAATGCTACAGCATCAGGATACAGGACTGGTCTATTTTATTTGTACAGTAAAATGCTTAGAAAAAGCGCAAGGAGCTTTGGTCCCTGCTTTTATTGAGGTGCAGTTTAGACTTGTTGGTATTGTCTCATTAACAACTGCTTTACTAATCTGGCACAGGGATGGTGGACAAAGAAAAGGCAGAACCAAGTAGAGCAACGCACAGAGTGGAAAAAATAATTGCACATGCTCAATATGATATGTCAACTTTTGACAGCGACATAGCCCTTCTCAAATTAGAGGAACCTATCACATTCTCTGAGGATGTTGTCCCAGCGTGCCTTCCAGAAGAAGACTTTGCTGACTACATTCTGATGAAACAAACATTTGGAATTGTCAGTGGCTTTGGGAACACATTTGAACGAGCACCACTGGTCAGAAGAATGAAAGTGCTTCAAATCCCTTACGTGGACGAGAACACTTGCAAGCTCGCCCTTAATAAGCCGGTCACAAAAAACATGTTCTGTGCTGGTTATGATAAAGATGGAAGAGATGTCTGCCAAGGAGATGGAGGAGGTCCCCATGTAACCGAATACAATGGCACTTATTTTGTTACTGGTGTCACCAGCTGGGGAGAAGGGTGTGGAAGGCCAGGGAAATATGGAGTATATACCAGGTTGTCAAAGTTCCTACCCTGGGTAAGAAGTGTTTTGACAGAAAACTCTTAACAGTTTGACATTTAATCCACCAAATTGTCTCAGCCATCAGATCTGATCCCAAAGTAATTTTTTCCTTTTGTTTTAACATGCTAGCTAAAATTCTGATAGTTTGTGCTTCTCTTAAGAGATACCATCTCTTTCTTCATGAGCTAATGCCTCCTTTCCAGAAAGTGAGCTTGAACTTCAAACAAATTTTACTGGATTTGGACAATAATGAAGTTTCTTCAAATGTGATAGTTTAGGAACTCTTTCTGCTCTCACTGTGATAACCTAAATTTGTCTGTTGGAGACTTTGTCTGTGCTGATAAGCCCCCTCCCACTGCAATGAAAGCTGGAACAAACTCAACATTTCTGTGGCAGCACCTGCTTTATATAAACAAACCAGACTAGGATAATATCAAAGGAAGACAGTAACAGAGTAGGACAGCATTTTAAAAGCCTCTGGAGTAGCCACCTAATTTTCTAGATTCATATGAATGTCCACGGAAAAAGCTAGAAAATGCAAAAACCACCCATGTATCCACACGAGTCGAAATAACTAGGCATGTGACTTAATCCAATGAGTTGTTAGATTAAGCCCATTGAATTGGAAAGGCTTTTTTATCGTCATCAAAATCACTGGTGTTCTAATATTTTCTTGCTTTCTTTCTGAGGTACCTTCTTCACCAGCGTTATTCATGTTGTGATTTTGGCCATAATAAAGTGAACGCATGGCATACCCTATAAATTACAATATTGTTGTATGTTGTCATTTATATAAAGCATTATAAATTATTTTACATCAAGCATTATTTAAATTATACACAACTGAAGAGTTTTTAAATCTACAAGGATAAATAATATTTCAAGACTCAGAAAAGCCTAACTGTCTAGTCAGTTGAACCTGACATCCTCTGTCTGCCTTATTTCAGTCCAGAGATAAAAAAGACTTGGTTTTCAGCCAACTCAGTGGTACATAAAAACGGTGAACTTTACTTTAAAAAGTGTGTGAGTACATATTTTGGAAGAGAGGGAAAAGAAATGTTACAGATCATACGGTGGCATGAAGTGTGCAATACTTTTCTCATTCCCTGGCTTCACAATATCAAGTTTGCAAGTGTGAAAGTTACCCTTTTGAGGTAATTTTTAATAGGGATTATGTCAATCTATTTGAAAGGAATAGGGAGGTTAAGTTTATCCTGCAATGACCACTGTCCTGTTCCCCTCCAAAAATCTCAGAAGAATCACGCTGGAGTCTGTTCCATTTGTAGAATTTCCGACCACCCCACCCCATCTTTCTCTGATACATCTCCTAAACTTCGGGACTGCTAAAAGAACTCGGCCCTGGAGTGACAGCACTGGTCATGTCGTTTAAGCCACAGAAAGAAGTTCAGCCCCTGACGGCTGCATATGCAACTCCCTGATGTCACTGCTCCAAAGGCGTCACCCCTGCTTGACTTCCCATAGGTCCTCCATTGAGCACCTTAAATAGCAACATCTGGGCACAGCCGCAGGGCTGCTCCCCACGACCTCAGGGGAGAGTGTCAGGTGGAAGAGAGAGGAACAGAAAACAGCATTAAAACCTCTGAAATCCAGGTAAACTCCAAACACTTTCTCCTTATTGCCCACTTCAGACTGTGTCAGTGTTCCAGGCATTTGTCTGAAAGATCCCCTGTTTAGGTTTCTCTGTAAGCCATCCTCAACCATTTTTATCTTGAAGTCCGGGCCAGGATAATGGGGAGATATTATTAGAGAAAATTGGAGAAAAAATAATAAAATCGTCATGCAAATGGCGCAAATCCTAAATCACGATATTGTTCATCTCAGGGCTGAGTTAACCACCTCACAAAACTCCCTTATCCATCACTGAAGCTGAATCTAGGAGCTTAAGTGGTACGGCACTGTCTGTGCTTCTGCTCTGCCATCCTCCAGCTCTTCCATACCCGGTTTTATTGGTTGCAGTTTTGGTAGGGAAAAGGATATTAAGACAAAAGTGGGGAAAAAAGGTAAAGAGCCAAGAAGATGGAAATAAAGAAAGCATGTCTTTTAATAACTGAAATATTAACAACAATTGCTATTTTTAACAATGTGTGCACAGAAACAGAAAGTGTCAAAGTTTGCATCTACAGAGATCACAGAACCATAGAAGGGCTTGGGTTGGAAGGCATCTTCAAAGTTATCTAGTGCAACCCCTCCTTTTCTTTCACTAGATCAGGCTGCACAAAGCCCCGTCCAGTCTGACCTTGAACACTTCCAGGGATGGGGCAGATGTCAGAGTTGTTCCGAGATGAATTTTTGTTTTCACTGCCAGGCTGTCAAGAGACTTGTACAAACTTGTGGCTAGGGTCAAAACCTTGTTGCGGGTGCAGCATCCATGGGATAGAACCAGAGCTCCCCGGGGTTACATTCCTCCCCCCTGCCCTTTCCCCCAGGATTTCTTGCAATCGATAACCAAGCCAGAAGGGCGGTGCTGATGTTCCTCTGAAATGGCTGCAAGTTCGTCCAGTTTTTGGAAACGTTGATGCCCTCTGGATTTGGCAAGAAAAACTTTTTTTTTTTTTTTTTCCTGCAGGTGCAGAACAGAATTGGCTGACAATAGCCCAGTCCTTTAGCTGAATTATAACCCATTCTAACCACACTAAGGATTAACCCTTTGCAGAGTTTGTGCTTCCTCTCTGCTGGCTGGGCAAAACTCAGCTGACATCTTTGTAGCTTCTGTACTCACAAAGACCCATGCTGCTTATAAGCATGGATGCTGATAACAGTGCTTCGTATGAGCTGAGTGTACATTGGCATGTAAATGGGATTAGCTTGTGTCACTCATCGCTAGCTCTTGACCAAGATTACACGTGACCACACTCACCTGATTTGAACCAACTGGTGTCCAGTCAGGGCTGAAGGATACACTCCTGTTTTGTTGTTCCTAAACAGCTGTCTGGAAGTGGGCATTTCATCTTAATTTGAAACAGCACTCCTGTGTTCCTGAATCTGCTGCTTCCATTTCCATATTCTCGATGCAAAGAATAGCCTCAAGCTCCACAATATCTCAGACCTCTGACAGCGGAATTACTGAGTTACATCACAGTAAAACCTGGACTCTGCCCTCTTCGTTTCTTTGGAGCTGGCAGCCATCGCTGTGATCTACCTGCAGCTTTTCCAGGGCTCTTCCTTACGGGTAGGGAGAGACCAGCTGGGTAGGGGGTGGTTCGTCTCGGTCCCCTTCTCTGCCTCAGGTGAAGGGATGGTGCTTTGGTGACCCATCGATGCTCATGGCATGGGGCAATTTTGCCTTCAGTTTGCTGGGCAGGAGGTGGGAGATGAGTGACCTGTATGGAAAATGATGACATGGAGGACAAGGAGGTGGCTTGCCGCAGCCGTAGGAGTTAGCAAAAGGGGTGACAGGGCCATAGGGTTCAGTAGCTCTTTGTCTGCTGCCCTGTGCCACCTGGGAGTGGACAGGCGTTGCCCAGGGCTGGCTGCAGTGGGGCTGTAAGCACATCAGTCAGTCACATCTGCTTCAACATCCTCGCCCTGCCAGCCGGGGCTCTGGGGAACCTGGAGCAAGGAGAGAGCACAGAAGAAGCCAGCAGGGTTTTGAGGACCGTGCCAGAGGCACAATGGGGCAGAAGAGGAGGCAGAGGCAAGAAACTCGCCAGGTCCATCTCCACCACAGATGGTTCAGAACAGAGGGGCTTGGAGCTGTGGTGTGGTAACAGGCACACAAGACTGGGGGGAGGGGGGGGCATAGTACAAGGCAAGACGGGAGGGGTCTGCTTCTTATGGACCCAGTCCCTGTCCCTCCTCTTCCTCCCAGCCCTGTGGCAGCAAGCAGCTGCAGGCTTTCCTCCACCCCAGGGCCCCCAGCTCCCTGCCGAGGGCTGATGCGAATAGAAGAGGAGGAGGAGGCTGGAGCTGCTCCTGCGAGCCTGCACCTCCTGCCACAGGGCAGGTGGACCACAGTCCACTTCAACTTGAGCCATCTTCAGCGTACACAACCCAAAACTAACCGCAGAGCCTGCACGTCACTTGGCAGAAGGACAAACCCAGGGAGAAACATGGCTGCGAGCGCAGCCATCAGCTTTCATCCTTTGCTTAGGGCAGGGGCAACATTTTCTGTAAAAAAATTGCTGTCCCCTCTCTCTAGCTGAGGTGTGCATTTCCCAAAAGCACGACAGTGATGGGGTTGCTCAGGACAGCTGCCCCCAGCTGCCCCCGCCACAGCGGGTGCCAGCCAGGGGCATGAGGTGGATGGCATTGGCGTGTCCCCATCACTGTCCCATCGCCACCTGCACAGCTGGTCTACAAACTTGCTTTTCCTAGTTCCTTGCACTGCTGGCGGGAGGACTTCCACGGGAACTGGTTGCTAAAGCAGGACCAGCTAACCCAGTTACTTCACCCTGAGGAACTGCAGGGTTTGTATCTGACACCAGGTGCAGGCTTCACGTGGGGAAGGGCAACCCTTCAAGCAGGAGGCAATCCTTAAGCAGGGCTGCAGGAAACAGGGGTGCGGGACTCCTTAATGAAACACGTCTCCATGTGCTCACCGCGACAATTTAAGCAATGGAAAAAGAAATCCCAGTAACTCTTCATCAAGACAGATGTGAGGATAGGACTGCCCTTTCCAAACCCCTCTCTTTGTGCAATTTTCCGTAATATTAGGAAAATTAAAAGTAAGGTCTGTTGCAGTAACATCCACACGGAAAAAGCCAAGTCAGTGCCCTAGCGTACTGAGTACACTGTGGCCCATCCCCAGGGACACAGCTGCTCTGTCAAGGAATACTTTGTTTAAAACAAACACAGTAAGAAAAGATGACTGTGTAAACTAAAGTCTGGTGAGAATACAGCTTCTGAAGCTCTGTGTTGTCATTATTAACCTAATTTGAAGAATTACCTTATACCTTGAATAATTACCTAATACCTAAAAGAGCTGCCTAATTGACATAGGTTTGCAAAACATAAACAGCTTGTTTTAAAAAAAAAAAATTAATCTGCAGACCCTCATGTTTGTGCTGGGTTCTGTGAAGTCCTGTGCTGACATCCAGTGGTGACACGTTTTCCATGCCAAAGGGAGCCGGACTTGCCGTGTTGCGTATGTACGGGGCGATATTCGTTATCTCGGGGAGGTGCTGGCTGAGCCCCCCAGCACCCACCAGATGTGACCGCCGGCAACAGCCCCAATTTTCCCCAGCCAAGAAACCCCTGGCTGGGACAGTACAATGGAGCTTGGTGGCCTCAGGGGACTGAGGAGGCCACCAAGAGCTCATTTACTAAAGAAAACTTGACCCAGAGTTAACCAAAGAGTATGGGAGGCTATGTTGATTGGTTCTGCAGAAATACCAAGGAGGGAAAAATAAATATGAAAGGTTATGATCTGGCTGTGAATAAAATCAAGCTTGATATTTGAAAGGTTTTAACTCTGAGTGAACTTCTGGAACAATGTGCTGGCAGAAACTGTGCAGGAAAAACCTCTCACAATGCAGTTTTAATGTGGAGGTTAATTATTTGCTGAAGGCATTAGGGTCCATGACGCGAGCTGCAACATCAGCCCTGGGTTGGCAGGGACTGGCCTTGGTGAGGCACGCAGTCTGCTTCAGCCCTGCTCATCTGCCTTGGTACTCACCGACGCCAGTTTTAAAAACTGCAGTTGATGTAACGTGAAATTTTATTCGAATTCTCATGAATTCTCAGGCCAATTATATTTTGTTACAAGAACTGCACACTCAAATAGTAACTGGGAATTTATGACATGAAAATACAGAATGGTCTTTATGTTTCAAAGTCAGATTAAAAAAATATATTTCCTCTCACCGGTTGTTGCTCCAACTGTAGTAGAATGGCTTCCTGCTCTCCCCAGCAGCCTGGCCGTGCTGGGAGCCACACAGCTCCCCGCGTCCCCGTCATAGTGGCAGAGCCCAGCCCATGCACACCAGCGTTTGGCTCCTTCCCCTTGTCCTGGCCCAGGCAGGAGGGCTGCACGGCACGGCACCCCAGGGAGCTGCTCCGGTCCGGCCCGCTCCGTACGCCTCCTTCCACAGATCGTGTGTCTGCCTGCGACTGGGATCCTGACGTTGGGAAGAGTTTCCCCTGCTATCCTTCATGGCTGGGCAGCACAAACCTAACAGTCAAAAGGAAAAATGCCATACCTGTGCAGATACATCCCTGTGGAGAAAATCCCATGCTTGGTTGTTTGGATGCTCCAAAACCCAGTGGGATTTGACCGGTGCAGCTAAGCCTCGGCAAATGTCTTGTGGGGACAGTGTGTGAAAGAGCCACGCCACCAAATTGATCCCTGTACTCATCATCCAGCTTGTGCTTTGATGTGGTACAAATAAATGGTAGTACTGTTCGTCTTTCCCCATTTTGTGTCACAGCAAAGGAGGGCTGGGAGGTGTGAGGAATCCCCAAACCCTGGAGCAGCTCTCAGCAGAGCTGGTAAACCTACTCAACCTTCAGCCCGAGCACTAAGTGAACGGGGGCTCTTGCAGCGCTAAGCAGGGCTTTTTTTGAGGTTTTTCGTGTGTTGACATTGAGGCCAGGCTTTGCCCTTAGAGGTTTTGTTTTCTCATGAGCAGCTGGACTTTAAACTCCGACATCTTTCATGCAGCCATTTCCCGCACAAGCTGCA